GTTCAGAATTTTCCATTTGCTTTTTTCAGTAGTTGTTATGTCTTTTCTATCTAAGCTTTACGGCACAGCGTAAATGGTGAATCTTAAACTAACGATGTCTGTGTGATGGCATACGCAGTTCTGTGACTTATTTCTCTAGGCAAGTTCTCTACATGAGCAGAGCGTTTTGAAAAGCTTCTTCCAAGCTATGGTAGCTGGGAGCGGTGACGAAGAACAAGGCGTCAAACCACTAAGAGTGTCTAAGTATTTTTAATTTAAAATAAATTTAAGTTATAATTTAAAATTGATCACTCACTGCATGTATATACCGTCCAGGATCGTAATCTATCCATGCCGGAATGCACTGAAATTAATTCGCGGTTAAGTCATCGGTGTGTCATCGTCAATTAAGCCAACAGAGTGACTCACCCTATGCTTATTCTAATAATGTCCGCTGAATAGCAAACATAATCTTAATTTTGAGCACGTTCTACTGCATCCGCGAAGGACGTGCTACGAGGCCACTGCAGGTGTGCCATGAGTAGGTCTTTTCAAATTCGACGTTCACCGCCGAAGCGTCGATATCCATGACTTCGATGCTATAACAGGATTTGTTGAGCGACTGTTGTTTTGTCCTTGCACATGGTACTATTAAACCATGAAATTCGTTTGTTGAGCTCAATGAAGAAAACTCCCATTGTTCGGTTTTGGCTAATTGCTCTTAGTCCATTATTCGTTGGAACCGTCGAACCTTAAGTATATGTCATACAACGTTGTTGCATAGCGTTTAGACGACCTTGATTTGTTTTTACTTTTTCTAAGCCGTATAATAAGGTCAAAACGACAGACGACGTGAAGATATTCATTGTCATATGATCAGCTGGGTGTTTTACTGGCACCCTTTCTTTTCTAGGCTAAATAATGAGAGAACCAAAACATCTGTGCTAATCAACTTTTTCCTATCTTCCCATGTAAAGAGAAATCGATCTCTTCTGTTTCCTTTTGCCTTCCTGCTCGTTTTCGGTTTCTTCCGACTGAATCCAAAATCTGGATTTCTGCGTTTCAGCGTTTGAACCGTGTTTGTTGTTAGTCGTAGCCCACCCGAACACCAAATAACTATATTGCAGAAGAATATTATGTCGTCTGCGTAATCGTGATACGTGAGGAATATGGTAAGGCACGTTGACATCCGTGTTCGACGTACGTCAGTCGTTC